CGCAGTGCTCGCGCGTCTGCGATTCCGATAATTTCCAAGCGCGGCGCAATTTGGTGCGGACCGGCCGCTCCCAGGCGAATTTCGCGTTGGACGATGCCGCAATTGGGCGCGTGCTTCCTGCGCCCGCGGTGTACGCGCGCGCATTCCAACGCGCTCAATTGCGCCCGCCATGAACGCGACGCCAACAAACGAAACAAACAAGCGGCACAGTTTTTTCTTGAATGGGCCAGGCGCGTAGCAGTTCACAGTTCGCGGTCATCGAACGATGGTCACAAATTGAGTCCCTAGTGGGGCTCCGCTAGTGAAGTCCCATGAGCAGCCGCGCAGGCGCCATCCCTGTACGCGCTGAGCGCGGTGGAAGTGGCGTTCGTTGTTTCGTGGAATAGGATAGGGAACTGGGTCAGTGAGTTGCGCGCCCCCTGCAGCACGGCGCTCGTCGACGACCAAGTTGGGCATGCACGCGCGCGACAGAGAGAGAGAGAGAGAGAGAGAGACAGAGATAGAGACAGAGAGAGAGAGAGAGAGTGACAGACAGACAGACAGACAGACAGACAGACAAGCCCCGTGCGGGGCTCCGCTAGTGGGGCTCTGGAGCCGCCGCCCAGGCGTCATCCCTGTACACGCTAAGCGCGGTGGAAGTGGCGTTCGTGGCGGATCTGTTTTTGGTGCGCGTGCGTGCGCGTGCGTGCGGGCGTGCGGGCGTGCGCTCGCGTGCGTGCGTGGCGTGGTGGGCGTTGGCGTCGGTGGCGGTGGTGGTGGGTGGGTGGGCTGGGCGGGGTGGCGGTGGCGGGGCGGGGCGGGGCGGGGGTGGTGGTGGTGGTGTTAGCGGTGGTGGTGGCGCCAGTGGGGGGTCCTGAAATTTGGATCTGCGCCCCCTGTAGCGTGGCGTTTGTCGCTGATCAATCTGGGCCTTCGTGCGAGTGCACTTGGTCGCAGTGCTAGCGCGGCAGCGATTCTGATCTTCTCCGATTGCGGCGCAATTCGTCTGAGTTCGGCCGTGCCAAGGCCCCAATTTGGCCACTGCTTCCTGCGCGCGCGCTGCATGCGCCCCAAAAGCGTTTGATAGCAAGAATTTCGAGCTGAATCAAGGTCGGCATGACTTTTTTTGGGCTGCAGTGGTTTCCTGCCAAGTTCGTTTTTCGGAGCGCGGCCCCAGACCGCAACCATCATCAAAAACAGTGCCTCCCCCTTTAACCCCCACCATGAGGAAAAAAAAGAACAGAGAAGCGGCGCAGCCGCCCCTTCCCTCCACCATGAAGACCACGCAAAAAAAAAGGGAAGCGGCGCGGCCGCTTCTCTTTTTTCATGGCCCGGGCGCAGTTTGCCGCCTCGCGGCCATCGCGCGAGAATCAACGATTCGAGCCCCCTCTGGAAGTTCCGCTAGTGGAGTCGCAGGAGCAGCCGCCCAGGCGCCAAGTTGCGTTTGCGATGGATTGGGGGCTTGCTTGGGCAGGTGGGCGGGGGAGAGAGGAATTCGGTGTCGAATTGTTGAGCTGCTTCCCCTGCAGCATGGTATTCGTCGATGATCAATGTTGGTTTGCGTGAGGGTGCGGCGCGGTCGCAGTGCTCGCGCGTCTGCGATTCTTGATAATTTCCAAGCGCGGCGCAATTTTGGTGCGAAGTTTCGCCGATTCCCGGGTGGATTTTCCGCGTGAACCGAGTTGCCTTCCGGGGTCTCCCGCTGCTTCCTGGCGCCTGCGCCGCGGTGCACGCGCGCGCATTCAAACTGCGCTTTCCCCGCGCCCGGCATGAACGCGACGCCAACAAACAAAACAAACAAGCGGCGCAGTTTTTTCTTAAATGGGGCGTAGCAGTTCACAGTTCGCGGTCATCGAACGATGGTCCACAAATTGAGTCCCTAGTGGGGCTCCGCTAGTGGGGCCCCATGAGCAGCCACCCAGGAGCCATCCCTGTACGCGCTAAGCGCGGTGGATGTGGCGTTCGTTGCGCGGTGGAATACGTAGGATGGGGAACTGGGTCAGTGAGTTGCGCCCCCTGCAGCACGGCGCTCGTCGACGACCAAGTTGGGCTTGCACGCGAGAGAGAGAGAGAGAGAGAGAGAGAGAGAGAGCGAGATGAGAGAGAGAGAGAGAGAGGAGAGATGAGAGAGAGAGGAAAGAGACAGACAGACAGACAGACAGACAGACAGACAGACAGAAAGACAGACAGACAGACAAAGACAAAGACAAAGACAAAGACCAAGACCAAGACCAAGACCAAGACCAAGACCAAGACCAAGACAGACAGACAGACAGACAGACAGAGACGGAGAGACGGAGAAGCGGCGCAGCCGCCTTTCTTGTAGTCACGGCCGGGGCTCATGACAGTTCGGCGCGTCGCCGCCGCCGTCGCGCGAGGACCCGCCATTGGAGCCCCGCGCGGGGCTCCGCTCGTGGGGCCCTGGAGCCGCCGCCCAGGCGCCATCCCTGTACACGCTAAGCGCGGTGGAAGTGGCGTTCGTGGCGGATCTGTTTTTGGTGCGCGTGCGTGTTTGCGTGCGTGCGGGCGTGCGGGCGTGCGTGCGCGTGCGTGCGTGGCGTGGTGGGTGTTGGCGTCGGTGGTGGTGGTGGTGGTGGTGGTGGTGGTGGGTGGGTGGGTGGGCTGGGCGGGGTGGCGGTGGCGGGGCGGGGCGGGCGGGGGTGGTGGTGGTGGTGGCGGTGGTGGTGGCGCTAGTGGGGGGTCCTGAAATTTGGAGCTGCGCCCCCTGTAGCGTGACGTTTGTCGCTGATCAATCTGGGCCTCCGTGCGAGTGCACTTGGTCGCAGTGCTAGCGCGGCAGCGATTCTGATCTTCTCCGATTGCGGCGCAATTCGTTTGAGTTCGGCCGTGCCAAGGCCCCAATTTGGCCACTGCTTCCTGCGCGCGCTGCATGCGCCCCAAAAGCGTTTGATAGCAGGAATTTCGAGCTGAATCAAGGTCGGCATGACTTTTTTTGGGCTGCAGTGGTTTCCTGCCAAGTTCGTTTTTCGGAGCGCGGCCCCTGACCGCAACCATCGTCAAAAACAGTGCCCCCCCTTAACCCCCGCCATGAAAATAAATAATAATAAAAGACCGAGAGAGAAGCGGCGCAGCCGCCCCCCCCCCACCATGAAGACCACACCTCCCCAAAAAAAGAGAGAGAGAGAGAGAGAGAGAGAAGCGGCGCAGCCGCTTCTCTTTTTTTTGCATGGCCCGGGCGCAGTTTGACGCCTCGCGGCCATCGCGCGAGAATCAACGATTCGAGCCCCCTCTGGAAGTTCCGCTAGTGGAGTCACAGGAGCAGCCGCCCAGGCGCCAAGTTGCGTTTGCGATGGATTGGGGGCTTGCTAGGGCGGGTGCAGTAGTAGTAGTAGTAGTAGTAGTAGTAGTAGTAGTAGTAGTAGTAGTAGTAGTAGTAGTAGTAGTAGTTGAGTAGTAGTAGTAGTAGTAGTAGTAGTAGTAGTAGTAGTAGTAGAAGTAGTAGTAGTAGTAGTCGTAGTAGTAGTAGTCGTAGTAGTAGTAGTAGTAGTAGTAGTAGTAGTAGTAATAGTAGTAGTAGTAGTAGTAGTAATAGTAGTAGTAGTAGTAGTAGTAGTAGTAGTAGTAGTAGTAGTAGTAGTAGTAGTAGTAGTAGTAGCAGTAGTAGTAGTAGTAGTAGTAGTAGTAGTAGTAGTAGTAGTTAGTAGTAGTAGTAGTAGTAGTAACAGTAGCAGGAGCGTTTCTTCTCCCCCCTCTTTCCCTGATTTTTCTCGAAGGCGGGGAGAACTGACCTTCGCTGTGTTTCTCCCTTTGGGAGGAGGGTCAAGAGAGGTGACTTGCACCGTTTGCCCCTCCCCCCCTGACCTGTCCAGTTCTCTTGACCCCCCTCCTCCCCCTCCTCCCGGGAACAGGGCCAAGAGAATTGACCTGTACTGTTTTCTTCCTTCGCGCTTCATTGTTGCGCCGACGATTACGTCGGGACAGTAAAGCAATGGTCAGGGGACGCTGTTGCCACCATTTCTTTTAATCATTGTGGAGGGTGTTTTTATTTTTTTCATTTTTCGCACGAAATATTTCGTGTAACTCGAGGAAGCACTTAAGAATCCCCCCCCATTCGGCGAAACGATTACATTCCCCGCGCCCGAGGAGGAGAATTGGCCAAATCGCCTCAGACATCCTCAAATTTCTTCAAAGAGTTAGCCAAATCGCCTAAGACATCCTCACATTTCTTTGTAGAATTGCCCAAATCGCGTGAGACATCCTTACGTTTCTTATAGAATTGACCAAATAGCTTCAGACATCCTTACATTTCTTATAGAATTGACCAGATCGCCTGAGACTGCTCACATTTCTGAATAGAATTTGCGAAATCGCCTGAGACATCCTCACATTTCTTTATAGAATTTGCCCAAACGCTCAGACATCCTTACGTTTTTATATATATATATATATATATAAAATTGACAAAATCGCTTGAGACATCCTCGCATTTCTTATAGAATTGATTAAATCGCCTGAGACAACCTGACGTGTCTTTATAGAATCGGCCAAATCGCTTGAGACGTCCTGACATGTCTTTGCAGAATTGGCCAAATCGCTTGAGACACCCTTGTATTTCTTAAAGAGTTGGCCAAATCGCCGAAGACATCCTCACGTTTCTTTGTAGAATTGCCCACATCGCGTGAGACATCCTGACATATCTTAGTAGTAGTAGTAGTAGTAGTAGTAGTAGTAGTAGTAGTAGTAGTAGTAGTAGTAGTAGTAGTAGTAGTAGTAGTAGTAATAGTAGTAGTAGTAGTAGTAGTGGTCGTCGTCGTAGTAGCCATCGTCGTCGTCGTATTCGTCGTTGTCGTCGTCGTAGTCGTAGTCGTTCTCGTACTCGTACTATTCGTAATAGCGCTAGGCTTGATGAGAATTTCATGGAATGCTTATGTGTACAATCAGTTGGGGGACCCCGCCTCCCGTTTTCAAGATTTGTTTCAGCTTTCACTTAGCGTGGAACCTAGCGTCGAAACTCTGCCCCAGAAAGCGATACACGCTATACATAGATACCTGACCGTAAGACTTCGTGGACAGCACGGGGTCGGTGGTGGCGCTGCCGGCGGGCGCGCGCAGAGACATGGACGCCGCTCTGGTGCCGCTGGAGCCCGCTGGAGGCGCTGCGGGAGCCGTCGCGCGCCCTTTTAGGCGGGCGACTGCTGGCTGCTGCTGGATCGTGCACGGCTTCGAGGGACCCGACGCGGTGGGCTTCGAGGTCGAGCCAGTCTAGGGCGTGGGCGTCGGCGTGAGCGAGCAGACGATGACGAAGCAGTACGACGGACCTGCAGCCCGTCCCGCCACACCGTGCCTGGGCACAGTCGGGGCGCTGGAGGAGGCCCGCCTGCTTTTCGAAGGGGGCTCGGCCGTGCCGTAGAGGGTGCATGATGCGTGCCGCCCCTTTTTTCGGATGGCGGGCCCCCCCGATTTTATGGTCGGGAAACCAGGGGCTTCGTTCCTGATTGATCGCTCCTTAGGTCAACGCCCCGACTGTTGTAGGTCCGAGGCCTCTCGGGGCCCTCTCGGCACCTTTCGGGGCGCTCGTGGCCGCGAGCAAGTCCTGCGGGAAGCCCCGGGGCGTCGCGGGAGCCGGGGAGCCCAGAGAGTTCGAGGATTTGGAAATGGGGCCCTTGAGCATTCCATCCTGAGGCCACTCCAGCTCGCGCTTCGCGGCACGGTGGCGGATTGTTCTGCAGGGCCAAAACAAGCGAGCATCGTCCTTCCAGATCGCCAGGTCGATGCTCCAGGCTCCAGGCCCACAACGAACGACCAGCGTCCTTCCAGAAAATCAGGTCGATGCGCATCGTCGTCGCCTTCGATGAGCGTGTTGAGCGGCCTGCCAGCATGCACATGCTGATATTGGCACAAAAGGTGCGTGTGTGTATATATATATATATATATAGGAGAGAGAGAGAGAGAGAGAGAGAGAGAGAGAGAGAGAGAGATCCCCGTGCACGACGCCCGGGCGCCCCGGGCGGCTGCCCCGAGGGGGCATGGGAGTACCGGGGCTCATGTTCCTTGTGTTTTTACACGGTTTCCGCGTCCTGGGCCTCGGAGGCCGCCGCCTCCGACCCTCCGTGGGAGGACGGGGCGGCCGGGGAGGTCCAAAATAGTCCAGGAGGGCCTCCAGAGGCTCCCAAGACGGCCCAAGCGGGCCCCGAGTCGCCGAAAGACCGCTCCAGGACGCCCAAGGTAGGCCCAAGACGGCCCGAGTGGTCCCCCAAGGCACTCCACGACGCTTCAAGACGCCTTTCCAAAGCGCTTCAAGAGGCCGAATTCATCAATTTTACGAACGTGTTCGAACGATTTTGGCCTTCCAGCCCTTTCGACTGTCCGACGTTCCAGGACGGCTCAATAGGCCCCCAAGAGCGCCCCAAGACGGCCCAAGAGGGCCCCAAGACGGCCCCAGAGTCGCCCAAGACAGCCCAACAGAGCCCCAAGACGGCCCCAAGATGCGCCCAAGAGGGGGACCACGACTCCAAAATTCGACCCTCCCGCTTGAAGAGTGCCCCAGGAGGCCCCAAGGAGCCCCCAAGAGGCCCCAGGAGGCCCCAAGAGGCACCCAGGAGGCCCAAACGAGGCCTAAAGAGGCCACAAAACAGCCCCGAGGAGGCCCCACAACGGTCCCAAAACGGCTACCGAGAAGCTGCGAAACTGCCTTCACGACGTCCCCGACAGGCCAACCACGAGATCCAAACCAACACCCATGAGGCCTCTGACCCACCACCCAGGGCACTGTGGCGGGAGCAGTGACAGCACTTGTGCACAGCATGTTCCGGCGGGAGCCTTCCGGAACACGCTGCAGGAGGAGGAGGAGGAAGATCAGGAGGAGAGAGAGAGAGAGAGAGAGACTGGAGTGGGAGGAGGAGGAGGGGGACGAGGAGGAGGAAGAGGCCTCCAAGACAGCTCCAAGATAGCCGAAGAGGCTTCCAAGAGGGCCCTGGGCGGCCCACGAGGGCCCCAAGGCGGTGCCTGAGGCGCCCAAGAAGGCCCGAGAGGGCCCCAAGACGGCCCCAAGAGAGGCCCAAGATGGGAAACACGAACTGAGAATCCGAGCTTTCTACTCCGAGAGGTTCTCGGGAAGTCCCAAGAGGCCCCCAATCGGATCCAAGAGGCCCCCAAGAGGCTCCAGAGAGGGCCGACGAGGTTCCAAGAGATCTCCCAAGGTGGCCCCAAGAGGCACAACTCATTGTTTTACGATTGGGCCTAGACGGGTTCGAATGTTTTCTGCCTTTTCGGCATCCCGATGCTCCAAGACGGCCCAAGAGGATTCCAACGCCGCTCCAATATATAGGAAGAGGCCTCCAAGAGGGCCCCAAGACGGCCCGCGAGGGCCCCAAGATGGTTCTTGAGGCGCCCAAGACGGCCCGAGAGGGCCCCAAGAGCCCCAAGAGAGGCCCAAGAAGGGGAACGCGACCCAACAGCAGAGCGTTCCCCCCAAAAGGCCCACAGGCGGCCGCAAGAGGACCCCAACAGCTTCCCGAGGGCCCAAAAGGCCCCTAGGAGACGTCCGAGAGGATTTAAAATAGCCCAAGAGTGCCCTCGATGCGTCCGTATCCATGTTGGCTCAAGTTCGAAACGTTGCCCCGACGCTTCGAGCTTGGACGCTGCCAAGGGGTTGGCCCGAGCGTCCCGAGGTTAGGCCTCACGTTTTGCACGTTCGACTCCTGCGCGAGCTTCTGCGCCTCGCATGTCCTCTTTCGGCCACACCACGGGTCGGATGACACCAGTCAGCCCGATGCCCCCCACAGAGAATGCGGTCCGTGGTGCCAGGCGCGTCAGCAAATCTGCGTCTCGCTCGCAGCCCAGACGGATGCCGAGAGAAGCGATGCAGATTGTCAGCTCCAGTCCTGCACGCTCGCCTGAACGGTTTGCATGAAGCAGCTTATCGGCAGCATCAATGACTCTAACATCCGCATCCAGACATTGGAGCAGAACTTCTCGCAGGAGGTCCAATCGCTCCAGCAAGCCATCTCGACCACGGACAAGAATGTTCACCTGCTCCACTCTCGCATCTCGAACATCGAGGTTGCCAGTGCTGCTTCCATCAAGTAGGCGGTCTCCGTGGCGGTGGAGCTCCAGATGGAGAAGATCGAGGCAGCCATTACCGAATTACAAAGCAAACCGACCACGAGAGCCCGTACTCAGCGTCGGAGTGATATTCCTAGCATGGTGCATGAGGCAAAGTCTGAAGTCCTGGAGCGTGCCCATCGTGTCATTATTGTTGGCTTCCCTCGTAAAATGATGCAAGCTTCCCTGAGGCGTGCCGCGGATCTGGTCTTGACGGCACGTATCCCACCTAGTCGTGAACGTCCTACTGTCCGCACCTGTGATATGACGAAAAAGATTATCTTAGATTTCAAGGATTCGGCGAAAGCGTCGGACATCATGAACATGATGAGCACGCACGGCATGGTTCCCGTCCCCGGCCCCGTCCACCCGCAGCAGCAGATCATGCTGAGAGTCAAGCGCGACATGGCCCCAGGTACACGTCTACTCTTCTTGGCTATGGGTAAAGTTCGTGGTGCCCTGGCCGGTGCAATGAAAGACATTGGCAAAGACATGGGGTCTAACGGACTTGGAGGGGATGTTTACGTTCTTCGGTCTGCAGAAGACCCTGTTCAATTGTGCCACCTTCAACTTGTGAATGATGAATCTGAGCCGCCGAAAGTCGGCATCACTTTTTTCCCTGACCAGCTCGCCGAATGTAGCTTCATTGTTTCCCCTCTTATCCCGCGCCTGCAGGAGAGGATCGACCACTTGAACTCCTCGCAGCCCTTTTAGGGCTGAACGAGGCTGGGCTCAGGCTGCGGGCGCGGCCCTAGCGACACCTTCAGAAGTGCGTCCGAGCGCTGCGAGCCAAGATGCCGCGCCAAGGTTTTGCTCTAGTCAATTAATGCCTGCGTCTCCCACTGATTTCAGGGCCCGTCCATGCTTCCCCCCCCCCCCCCCCCCTCCCAGATTAAGATTGGACCTTGCAATACTGCCGCTCTTGTTGCCGCTGTTCGAAGCAGAAGTACGAAAGCAGCCCCTCGCTTTGCTCGGTTTCTGAAGCTCGCGAAGCAGCTCGCGGTCTTTTGCGCCCAGGAAACTCATGGGCAGATTGCGGATATAAGTGAGCTTCGGCGAGAGCTTCGGTCCTTCGAGATTGGTCATTGTCTGCTCCCCAACTCTACGGCGCTGGGAGGGGTCATCACGTGCATCCAGCCTGCCTTTGCCAAACTCTTCTCCACTATTACCCACGCTCCTACCATTGATGGTCGGATCCTCTGTACTCTTCTCTCTGGGCCTCTTGGGAATATGTGCATCATCAACGCGCACATGCCTAACGCAAATGAGCTTTCTACCATCATTTTGCGGGCGTTACCCAACCCAGCGGAGTGTTTCACCATTCTCGTTGGGGACTGGAATTTCGCTCTCTCATCTGATGGGCGACTTCGAGCCGACGGAAGCGGCTGGTCGCAAGGCGACGATAATCATACTGCTCTCTTCCATCGCCTCTGCGGCTCGTGGATTGAACTATATCAATGTGAGGATACGAGGAGGGAGGTCAGGGATGGTGTTACTACCCATACTGCTCGGCTGGACCGTGCGTACAGCACGCTTCCGTCTGCCCTCGTTGCGGACCTCACCATCATATGTGAGGTGCTGGGGCCCTTGAAGGTGGATATGGTGTCCGACCACGTTCCGATAGTTGTCTCGATCAGCACCTTCCGACCTCAAGACTCCCGGAAACGTTTGGCTCCCTGGATCACCCGACACCCTCTTTTCCGTGAACTTCTGGATGGCGCGATTCGCGCCCTTGCCGACGCTGGCCCGTGGGACCGTCTGGCGGAAACGAAATCGTTGATGTTCGAGGATGCCGAGGAAGTTAAACGAATTGTCAACCTGAAGATTGTTGATACGCTAAACACTATCGTGCCATGCAGGCATTGCGTGCATGGCGGTCAGGCGACAGCTTTCTTCTCAATGCTGCGATTGCTGCTTGCCCTGCTCTTGCCCGGCACTTCCCTGCCGGCCTCCATGACGCACGGAGCGGGCCTCTTTGTCTTCACGTTCAGGGACTTCACAACCCCCTTTCTGGATGAGGCTGAGAATGAGCTTAATCAGGACAGGGAAGTCAACCCATCCCCCACGGATAGTGCTGCGAC